GTATTATAATAATCCTTGTAGCTGTTTATGCATCTTGTAATAGTATACTATAGATGAGTAATATGCAATCTTGACATGTACGTGTGTTATTAATAAGTACTTAATGGTGAAGAATATTAAATGTTGTTTTACCAGCATGATATCTCATTTTGATATCACAATAATAACTAATAATTCTGTTCATCAAGTTAGGCTGTTACAATGATAATGATCCTTTGTAATGGTTCCTAGCCTAGAAATCCAACACAGTACATGTAATTTAGTCTGGTTTGGTAGAGGTACCATTTACATCGCAAGTTGTACTAAGGGTTATGATACATAATTACATGTACCATTCACATGTATACTAAGAAATGATTATATTCTGTTAGCTGCAATAATACTAATGACTATCATGATAGCTACTAAATACTGATGTAATTATTAATAATGCAATTCTCTATTCTTGTTGTTGTATTCCTGGACTACTATTCTTGTATATCTTTGTCTCATATTGATATTTCTTCCTTTCTTTTGCCTTTCTCTCCACCTAGTACATGTAAATGTACATCTAACTTTTGCTCTTTCTCTTTTCGTCCTATAAAGGATTCTCCTGTCTCTCATGTTCTTTGTCTTTTTGTGTTAACACAAGCTTATAGTATCAGTAAGGAACTGTATTATACGTTATGTATGTCAATGTCATGTTTTTTACTATTTTTTATTATAGTATTGTAACAGTTTTGGGTCACAGATGCATTGCTTGTCAAGATTCAAGATCCCATGAAATCCACCTGCTTTTTATTTTTGGCGAAAGATGTGGGAACAGAACAATCCTAACAACATGATGGTAAGACACAATTTACATTACAGTGCATGTTTTATTCAGTGCATGTACACATGTACAGTAAATGAGGGATAGTGAGTGTCCTTTAGTCAGTAATAATTGATATGTCATTTATTGTACAGGAGAATAGAATTATGACAAAATGCTAAGAGAATTCAAAGCATGTCCCATTTGAAAAAGTACAATGTTTGAACATCAACGTCACTTAAATTTACACACTCTTTCACTCTCTCTTTTAGTGCTGTTAACTATACTCATAATCAAGAAACAGTTTGTTCCATAGACATTATCATATAAAGGCTGTGTTAAGATTAATATGCACTAATGCAATGATAAGTCGTATGTGATGTAAATGTACATGTATTTGAGTTAATGGATTACTAAGTAATTGTAATGGTAGTTGTCACAGGCCTATGTCACTGAGTCCCTGACTGTACATGAATGTACAATGTATTCTCAGATAAATTCATTAACAATGACATTGCCTTCTGAGCACAGATGGCAATGAAGTTACCATTGCCATTACTATTACTTTTTTAATAACAATTTAGTGCTGTACACCTTCCTCTCATTCCTCTTTTTGTTTCTCTATCTCTTTAGTGTCACCATTTTCTTGATGCATCAAGCTTAGGAGATACTGAGGTCATCAATGAGTCTG